CTTTTGTAATGTTGTTTGTTTGTAGATTTTGGTTTTCTGCTTTCTTTGTTGAGTCTTCGTGTTCTGTAAAAATTCAAAAATTGGTATAATAAATCTTCACCTGTTTACCAAAAAAAAACTCCTCGCAATGAATAGTTTGGATTTTTAAGTGAAGAAGACTCACATGGTTCTGAATCTTGGCATTAGATTTATCAGTAGATTGTTGTACCAAACCTCCTAAGGAATCCTTGGTTCAGGTCTGAAAGAGCCCATTTCGAATGTATGGCCCGATTTAAAAAATTTGGTCGGCAATAATGTATACGCATATACAATAGATTGCTTGGACCGACTAAATGGACGTGTTGGCTAGAATATTATTCTCATAAGCATATCTCAAGAGTCAAGACAACTATTAATATAATTGGTTTTTATTTTTTAGTGTAAACAATTTAATTTCTTTGATTGGACCAAGTAATTCTTATAAAGTTTATAAAAACAAAGTTAGGACAAAATAAAAAATAAAAAAATGATAAACACAGCATTATTATGTTATTTTCGTCGTGCAAAATACTTAGGACAAAATCGTAAAACAACGAAGAGAAATATCTAGACCAAAATCAATCGAATGTTCTTGATCAATCCTCATATTATACATTGCCCTACACTAATTATTATCCCCCAATTTTCCAAGTTTTTGCTTTGGTTGTTCAAGTAAATTTCCAATTATACCCTCAAGAAAATGTCGTCTCGTGGCCGAGAAGTGGAGGTGACCATCTCATCGGCGAAGGATATCAAGAACGTGAACTGGCGCAACGGCCCAAACAAGCCATACGCCGTTGTATGGGTTGATCCGACATACAAATCCTCCACAAGAGTTGAAGAAGACGGCGACACGTGTCCAACGTGGAACGAGACATTTGTCATCCCTTTGCCTCCGGCCAACGACGATGACGACAAGGTATACATCGACATCGTACACGCAGGAGGTGAAAAGAACACAAAGCCCCTCATCGGCTCCGCCCATCTCAGCCTCCGTGATGTCATTGATGACGTCGGCTTTGGCGTCCCTTTCATGAAAACCCTCAAGCTCAAACGTCCCTCCGGCCGACCACACGGCAAACTCGAACTTACCGTTACCGTTCGAGAGCCTCGGTATCATCCGGCTCCCGGATCATACCACGCGCCACCACAAACTGTTTATGGTGAACCATACGCGCCGTCTCATTCGTACGTACAACCGGGGTATGGTTACGCACCGGAGAAGGGGAGCAAGTTCGGCGGGATGGGGACAGGACTGGCGGTGGGGGCTGTGGCCGGAGTTTTGGGTGGGGTGGCGTTAGCGGAGGGACTGGAGGCTGTTGAGGACAAAATCGCTGAAGAAGCAGCAGAGAAGGTGGAGGATGATCTGGATGCCGGAGAAGACTATTTTGATGGCGGTGATGAGGATGACGACGACTGAGACATTTAGTTTTCCTGCTAAATCATGATAAAATGTGTTGAAAAAAAATAAAAAAATAATAAATGTGTTGATTAAGTCCTGGATGTATTTGTTGCAACAGAAAAAGCCTAATAACTTCGATTAAAAACAACTAAATCTAAATCACATAAAAGTTCGGTTTATGTAGTAACCATAAACGGAGATGTGCCTTTAGTCAATTGGTTAAATCCACCTGACTCCGTCTTTCCCACCGGAGTTCGACTCCACTAAGTCGCGTTACCCCGCGTAATAGGAATTGGCTATGGATCGGGCCTTGTCGATTCAAAGATGTCAAAAAAAAAAAAAATGTAGTAACCATAAACATAATATGCATAGAAACTTTTTATTACCACCTTCACGGAATAATATGCAAAGAATTAAAATATTCAAAATTTCATGAGCATTTTTTCTTTCATATGTTTTATTACCGCTTTCACGAAATTATATGCAAAGAATTTAAATATGAGAAATTGCACTAAATAACCTAAAAAAAAACAAAATTAAATATCTAACCTCTAACCCCCCTATTCACTCTATTTCTCTTCCTATCTCTCTGTACCCTTCTTTCTAAAAAACTAATTTTTCTTTTTTTTTTGGGTTATTCACCTAAATTACCCTTTAAATATTTAAAAAAAAAAAATCTCTTTTTTAAGATTTTCACCCTTACTTATTTTGTATTACTTGCCCAATAGATAAGCCCAAATCTGAGCCCATCAAGAGTTGAACCTTCTACTAATCAACATGAGCCTAACACTTATCTAAGCTTGGCCCATTCAACTAAGCTAACCGTAGACCAATCCTTAGTAATAACTAATAACTAATAAGTAGATCTGGGCAAATAAACCGAACCGAATGTACCGAGCTGAAACTGAAGCAAAAATGACCGAACCGAACCGAATTTGAAAATAACCGAATGGATTGTAAATTTAATAACCGAAATAACCGTAACCGAATCGATACCGAACCGAAATATTTCGGATAACCGAAATATCCGAAATACAATTATATTTTCCAAATAATTAATTATTTATAGACCAAATAATCAAAAATACTTGAAACATATGTAAAAAATAGTTAAAATACTCGAAAATAACTGAAATATATACAAAAATATCCGAAAATACTCAAAAATAACCAAAATATCCGAAAATATCATAAGCAACATAACCGAATGGATACTAACTTTTAAAACCGAAAGAACCGGAACCGAACCCAAAAAAAATATATGCAAAATATGATTGATTGGAAGCATATGGTATATGATAAGGGTTTTTTTTTTTTTTTTTTTTTTTTTTTTTTTTTTTTTTTTTGTCAAAGATGGTATATGATAAGTTCACGGCCAAACTGAGTTTTTGTTGTCATCCCACTAGTCATGGTAATGGTCTAATGGAATATATATTTTCCAAAGATTATGCAGGAGAAAAAGAACGACCACTTATTGAGTATATGGTGGATACTTATCCCATGACTAAATCGTGAAAGACTCCTTAATTTGGTTCTATATGTATATATAGAGCACCATCGTCCTGGCAAGCTTTTGGAACTACGTGTGATTACGATTTTTCTTAACACCCCATGTGACGGAAATATCCAAAAGAAAACCCCCTGAATTGGGATGTAGTAAACCCGTATAGTAAACCCGTGAACGGTGCAATATTTGCAGCAAATTAAAATCTATATTTGCGAACTCAAGTAATGTTGCGGCAAATTAAAATCTATATTTGCGAACTCAAGTAATGTTGGGTCGCATATTTACATCACATGGGGTGTTGGATAATTGGGTTACACTTACATCAAGTATAAAATAATTAATATTTTGAGTCTGAATCTATATATATAATGGGAGAGTTCTTTCTCCATCTAAGCTATCTACATCATCATCTATTTTAATTTTTTCTGAGCTTCACATATATTATTTATTAAAACAAAAAACATTAAAACTAAATTTCATTCACACACTTCATATTATTATCTTTCATTAAATAAAAATAATAATTTACAAAAAATAAAGTTAAATATTAATAGAAAACGAAAAAATAAATATTTTAAACAAAATACGAAAATTTTGAACAGAGATTGAATAAGTATTAAATTTGCTAATTATATCTTAACATAATATCACTTCCACAATAACAAAATATAACTAAAGAAGCTTATCATATATCTTAATGGTACAATAATTATTTTTTATAAGTTACAATTATTTAGTATAGTAAAATAAATAAGAGTTAAAAATTAATAAATTTAAAGGTTCTTACTTAAAATAAAAAGTAATACACAATTAAAATTTGAGAATATATTTGGTAATGTTAAAGTATCAATTCGTGATACCGATTAAAATATAAGAAAAATTGAGTATGTGCTATTATTATTATAATTATAATATAATATAAACAATTAACATTTTCTAAATTGAAACAATGGTATTTTGTAAACAAATGAATAGCCAAAAAGGAAAAACTAAATATTAGTCAGTGTTTAGAAAATTAACATTGATTGAAAAAATTAAGGTGATTTAATGGTAGTAATGGTAGATCGAAGAGTTTTTAATTAGAAATAAAGAAGATTTTGTTTTTGGAAAAAACAATTTTAAAATTAGAATAATTTTTTATACGTTTGTAAGTTACAACACATTTTAGAAAATCAAATTTAAGAATATTATCTAAAATCATAATATATGTTAACTTATATATGTGAAATGAGAATTTTATATTTTTCAAACGATTAAGATAAAAGTGCAAGATTTGACGTTGAAATCTGATGTACGTGGTTATTAATGAGTTCATATATGAGATTTGTTCTCTATAAAGCAATTTTACATGCACCAAATCATGGTTAAAGAAACTTCATGACAAATATCTCTCCATTATATTTAACCTTTCACTTGAATGAAGAAGACCATGCAACTTATAAAAAAATTGAATTTTGAAATATAGTAAAAAGGAAAAAGATATGATCTGTTTTGGGAACCAATTCGTAGTCGAATATATTACATGTGATTCATTAGATGGTGAAAAAAGAGTAGGTGTCGAGAGACGACGAGTGAATCATCGAAGATAACAAGAGAAATGTAGTGAACAACATAATTATTTTCTAAACTTTGGACTAAGAATGCAAATGATTAAAATAAAATCTCTTCAAATTCGAATGATTATATTTATACTAAAAATATGCATTGATAAAAAAAAATTAAATTAAAATCTCGGGTACATAATCTAGTATATTACAATTAGGAATGAATCATATTTTGAGTCTGAATATTACAATAATTGATGTAACCCAATTATCCAATATGAATCCAAAAATATCAATTATTTTTAGGTCCAAATAACTAAAATATCCAAAATAACCAAAATATCTGAAAACTCTTAGTTATATATTTATCAAAAGTTAACTAAAATTTTTTCAAATTGTACCAATTTGTTAATTTTTTTTTATATTTTTAGATACCTGAATACGACATATATATATAAAAAATCATTGAATGGGAGTATAATATCGTCGACCTATATTTCGTGTCAAATTCATATATCTATGTCTATATATATATATGCATACACAAAGTGCCGATATGAGCAACTCTTAATCCTCTTTTGAATTTTTTGTTGAAAAAGACGAAGTGGCAATGAAGCTAGAATTCGTAAGCAAAGAAATAATCAAACCCGCTTCACCTAATCATCCCCAAACCCTTTCTCTTTCTTTCTTCGACCAGTTTCTTCCTTCAACTTACGTTTCCGCCATTTTCTTCTACGATGAACAAGCAAACCAAGAAGACATAATCGTCCAGAGGCTCAAGAGCTCACTCTCTCAGACTCTGTCTCTTTTTTATCCACTCGCTGGACAAATCAAAGATGGTGTCACTGTTCATTGCAACGACCAAGGAGCTTTGTTTACAGAGGCACGGGCTGATATATTTCTCTCTGATTTCCTGAGAAATCCATCAGATGCTGATTTGGTTCACGAGTTCATTGTCTCTCCGGACCATGCAGATCCAGAAACCTGGCCGTTGTTGCATGTCAAGGTCATTTTCTTTAAAGACAGAGGATTTGCGGTTGCAGTTAGCGTGTCTCACAAGATATGCGATGCGGCCTCGTTGTCAACGTTTGTTTGCAGCTGGACAAACGCTTCAAAAGGGTACGCTGACACAGTGAATCCTGAATTTCCGGGGCCCGATTTCTACCCTCCTGCTGATATTTCTATCGAGTTTCCTCCATTACTGGTACGCAAAACAAAATCTAAGACAAAAAGGTTTGTCTTTGGTTCTTTGATGATTGAAAAGCTAAAAAACAGAGCTTCTAGTGGCAATCTTGAGCCACAAGTCACCCGTATTGAGTCCATCACGGCGCTGCTGTTAAGATGCATGACAAAGGCAGGGCATTCAAAGGCGGGTAAGGTAACAAAATTTGCAATAACACAGACCATGAACTTGCGAACTAGAGTTTCTTCCTCTTTCTTGCCGCACAAGGCAATTGGAAACTTCTTCTTTTTACCATTACTTAAGGAAAGCTCAGAGAGTAAGATGGAAATCGAAGAAACTGTTTCTAAGCTGCAGAAAACTAAAGAGGAGCTCAATCAGCTTATCAGAAACGATCCTGACGACGCAAAGAGTAGCGTTGAAGCCAAAGAGAGAATCGCAAGCGCGATGCTGAGTTCTTTGCACGAGGTAAGTCCTGAGACCGAGACATATGTTGTGTCTAGTTGGTGCAGGATGTCGTTTTACGAGGCGGATTTTGGATGGGGAAAGCCGGTTTGGGTTGCCCCAGGTTCGGTTGGTAAGACCCAGGTCGTGTTAATGGATGCAAAGGACAGTGAAGGGATTGAGGCATGGGTTACACTACCTGAAACCGACATGGTTGAGTTTGAGCATGATGATGAGCTGCTCGCTTACGCTACTATAAGTCCTAGTGTCCTCATCTAGTAATAACTAATGTTTATCAGACAAGTCTAATCACTCCGGCTCAGAAATGGACTTGTGCTATAGAATAAAAATGGCCTTTATGTTGTAATTCTCACAATCTCTCTATCTTTCACACTTTCTTACTCGTTTGTGTTCACTTGTTCTAGAGAGAAAACAAGAACACATTTTACTTTAATTGTCTACATTGATATTTCGGATCACAAGGATTCTCTTACACAACACACATAACACATACATATAGTGGTTTATCTCCACTTGCTACTCTAGACACATGAACCTTAATCATGACTCTTACACAAGCCATACTCCTAAACACTAGGCTAACTATTGACCTTACTTCTAGATAGAAGTCATACAAGCAACGTTTAACAACTCTCGTAGACTCTTACCACTCCTACTAACAACTATTTAGACAAAACACTCTTCACTAGTTTGGGCCTTTTCACTTGTAGGCCCATCACACCAAACAGAAAAACACCAAGCCCAACTTCCTTGTTGACTTGTCTTCTGTCGTTGACTCTCTTTGTCGACTTCTTCTTCTTCTCTTTGCTCTGCTAAAGCTTTCTCTTTGTTGCAGGTTTAATCAAGGACTCAATTCCCAACACTCCCTCTTGAGTCCTTAGATTAAACCCCCAATTTCAATTTAGGGATTTTAATCCCATTGCTCCTTGCTTCGTCTTCTTCTCGATTTTGAGAAGTTCTTCATCATATCCCTCCTGCTTCGATTCTTCTTAATCGAGCTTCTTTCTCTATCCGTGGTGCATAGCTTCTCCAACGGCAACTAGAGGTCACAACTCTCACCGATCACCAGTCACCGTCACGGTGAAAGTCTCCGCCGCCGTCTTCAACCACCACTTTGGTAAGTTGGCTCTTCTTCTCCCTCTTAAGCTGGATCCCCATGGATCCAGTTTCTTCATTTTTGTGCGAATATCTTTGCTATCTCTTGGCTAGTTTTCTTCGCAATTTTCCTCTGTTTCTCTTTGATCAAATCCTTGACCAAAAAATATTTTACTTGCAGGTAACACTTCGACTCTTTAGCTTTTCTTTGCCTTGAGCCTTCTCCATGTCACCTCCAAGTCTTCTCCGTGAGCTCTTCTCACGTCTCTTGCTCGGCTGACATTGCAACCGGCTGCTCCCTTTCTCTTTAGGTGAGCATCTTTTCTCTCTTGCTTGGTGTCACTGTGATCACCAGCCTCTTTCTTCTCCTTTTTTTTTCGATTCTCATAACCATCACCTTTGGCTTTAGCTTTAGGACACTTTTTCTCTGACTTGAACCACCACCTCGGCTTTCACTACCGTAGTATGGTTGGCTTCTCCTCAAGTCATCACCTTAGCTTTCGGCCTTAGTTGTTTGGCTCTTTGAATCTCCACCTTGGTTTTTCTCTAACCTTAGCTTGTTAGGCTCTTGAATCATCAACCTCCGCTTTCTCGGACTTGGTTTGTTTGACTCCTTGAACCGTTGGCTTTGGTCTTTCTCTAACCTTGGCTTCTCTTTCTCCTTCTCGTTTCAGCTTATGAACCACTCGGATTCTCAGCCTCAACAAGCATCTTCAAGCTTCACCAATACAATGTCGAAGAAGGATTGAATTCATCACCTTTCACAACACCATCTCCACACCGTTGTCTTCATTGCTTCTTCCAGAAGATCTCCACGTCTACTTGGATGCACCTGAAGCCCTTCTTCTCTAAGGTACGGTGGGAAAGAGTTTGTGTAGGTTGGTGGTGCTCTTTCTTGTCACCACATCTCTTTCCTTCTCTTCTTTTCCGACATAATCTCAGCTTTGCTCTTCTTTTCCCTCAGCCTTACACTTCTCTTTCTTGTGCAGGCTCTTCTCTTTTTTGTCTTGAGCACAGATCCACTCAAGATTTAAATCTCTTGCCTTGAGCTCAGGTCCACTCAAGGTCTCACTCTCTTCTTCTTCTTCTTCCACGGCTTCTTTGCCGTCTCACTTACAGCAGCTTCTCGGGCTGCATCATCTCTTCATCTTTGCCGTCTTCTTCTTACGGCCAGCTTTCTTCTTTGTTGATGGCTGTCTCCATCTTCCTCACAGCTTTTTCTTCTTCTTCCTTGGACAGGCTCCAAGATCAAGTAAGCTCTGATACCATGTTGTAATTCTCACAATCTCTCTATCTTTCACACTTTCTTACTCGTTTGTGTTCACTTGTTCTAGAGAGAAAACAAGAACACATTTTACTTTAATTGTCTACATTGATATTTCGGATCACAAGGATTCTCTTACACAACACACATAACACATACATATAGTGGTTTATCTCCACTTGCTACTCTAGACACATGAACCTTAATCATGACTCTTACACAAGCCATACTCCTAAACACTAGGCTAACTATTGACCTTACTTCTAGATAGAAGTCATACAAGCAACGTTTAACAACTCTCGTAGACTCTTACCACTCCTACTAACAACTATTTAGACAAAACACTCTTCACTAGTTTGGGCCTTTTCACTTGTAGGCCCATCACACCAAACAGAAAAACACCAAGCCCAACTTCCTTGTTGACTTGTCTTCTGTCGTTGACTCTCTTTGTCGACTTCTTCTTCTTCTCTTTGCTCTGCTAAAGCTTTCTCTTTGTTGCAGGTTTAATCAAGGACTCAATTCCCAACACTTTATTATACTATACTTTGATCAGTTTTAATTTTATAAGATGTTTTAAAGAATTATTTTTATTTCATATTATATGAGCTTTTCATTTTTTCTATGAAATATTTAATTTTATTTCACATTATCACCTATATAAAATTAAAGTAGTATAGATTAGGTCATATAGATTTTAAAACAAAATTGTAGAAATCATTTATGTGATTTTAATTTTCGATGTTTTTATCCAAAACAATGAAACATAGATATCTTACGATATGAAACAGAAGGAGTATTGATGAATTTGAAAGAAAATGATAAAGAGAAAGGCCAAAATAAGTTAACAAAAAAAAAACACAATCACTATAATGGGCTCAATAAGATGATGATGCCATACATTGATATTGATGATGATGATAATGATGTGTGTGCAGGATATCACATACATTAACATTTCATTTTGCATTGTATTAAAAGAAAAAATCAAACTGCAAACCATCTAAAACATCAAAGGTCATTAATTACGATGAATATAATAATAAACATAAATAGAACATGAATTCGATCACCAGTTGAAACTAATGGCCTCAAAGTGAAGATTCTTAGCCAAACCAGATGAACATATCTTTGCAACCTCATGTCTCATCTTTTTTGGTCCGCAAACCATCACCCCAACATCTTCCGAGCCTTCTGCGTCCAACAGAATCTCTACAAAACGATTATTTTAAAGTATCGGCTTTATTTATGTACATTTATTTAATTATTTTTGCCATACATGTGATGCACCAATGGACTCGAGTGGTAATAGATGACTTACTTTTCAGATTAGGTTTGGAGCCGAAATGGACTGAAGTGGCTTGTACTATAGATTGATAGGGAACGCTCTCGAGCTCTCTCTCGTGGCCGTGGAACCATGAACCTGGAGAGGACGTGGGCGTCTGAAACTCTACGCTCTGTACTTGCTTCTTGGTTTCCTTATCTCCTTCTTTGTTCTGTTTCTTGCGCCATAAGAAAACTATGCTTGAAGAGATGAAAATGCACACACATCCTAGGAACATGTCCCAAAGCCCTCTATACGAGAAATTGTAGATCGATCCTGTGTTATGGTCAACAGGGTATATATAGTAACGTGTGACGATCCCTATGAGCAAGAGAAACATGACGAATGATGATAAGATCACAACTCCGAGCCAGAGAAAGTTGTTGGGTCCAAGAACAGGTGATATAGGAGAGTCTAGAGGCTGCGGTTTGAACCATTTTGTTTGAAGAAGTCTGTGATCATCAGTTGTCTCGGGCTTCTTGTCTTCTCTTGTAACATAGGCCTCAATTCGAAGATTCAGCCTAGAAATGTCAGAGACTGATATATCCAATGGGAAGATTAGGTCTAAAAACGCAAGATCATGGTAATCTTTGAAGGAACAAACAAGAAGAACATCTGGTAGCTTTGTGCTCTGGTTTTGAATCTGAAATATGAGTTCTCTGATAACCGAAATGAAGGGTGTAATTCCGCTTCCACCGCTCACTAGTATTAGAGTGTTATGCCTATATAAGATGAGAATGATGGAGACAATTAGAAAAAATTTAAGATAAATTAAAGTAATTAATTATGAAACTGAAATAAGACTTTTGAGTTTTGTACCTTGAGACATCAAAAGAATTAGGGCCATAAGGACCTTCAGTAGAAACTTCGAGAGAATCAATGGAAGAAGAGATTTGGGTGTAAAGCTTTTGAGTCCAACTTCCTTGTTTTCTAATTACAACGCTTAGTGTATCTTTCTCTAAGGTACTGCTCGAAGTTACAGTAAATGGATGCCATTGCAGCTTGGAAATGCTTGGCATATGTAGAAACAATATGCTTGTTGGGGTATAATGTAGCCCTATAGTTAGTAAAAAAATAAAATGGTTACAACAATCATAAAGCATGCATCTCTCTCTTTGTAAACCCAAAAATATTTGAATGTCAACGTAAATGGAGGAACTAGTTTATAAACCTGGGGTTTTGGAGAAAGTGAGTTCGAGGTTGTCTGAAGGTAAGATCCTAGCAGAAACAAGTCTGGATCTCTTGGTCGATTGTAGAAATCTCAAGAACCGGTCGATGAAAAAGAGAAAGACGTTGGGCAAGATCATGCAGAACCACGAGTCACCGACATGGATTACGTAGAAGACTATGTAGACACCGTAGAGATGGTGAGTGTAGAAGAAAAGCTCAAACTTCTTTCTTCTAAAGGATGGTAAACTCGTTACCCACATCGCTATTCCAATCACCATCGCTATTGTTCCGGCTAGATTTGGCACATATGTCGCATTCCATGCAAAGGTCTTCACATATATATATAAGAAAACGTTACAAAAAAAATATCAGTTGTGGAATAAAAGAAATATCAATGAAAGATTTGTTTAATATGTTTTGTTTAAGGACAAGATTAAATCAAAGAAAGAATTAATGAAAGATTTGTTTTGTTTAAGGACAAGATTAAGGTAGATGTAACACGGACCTCCATCAACTTATTGATCATGGCCCAGTAGATAAGGAAAACAACTGTGTGAACGAGGAAAAGAAAGTTTGAGATATGTCCAAGCCAAATGTGATATTTGATGCTTGACTCCGACGTTAACCCGAAAATTGGCAGAATCGTAGAGGCTCTTGTCACCGGGAAGAACAAAAAAGCCCAGCAGATGTGGCCCACATATCCTATTCTCAGGCCGAAAGCCCTAAACTTCGCCTGCCATCTGCAACATATCAATCAATCAATGTTTAATTAAATTCTTCTATGGATTTAAATACCCCGTAGTTAGGTACTATGGATGGAATGTACCAAAAAAAAGTGTAAAAATGCGCAATTGTTTTTGGTTTATTCCATCCATTATGTTCCATTTGGCTTAACCATGTGAAGAATTTTGAATTTCAATTGGCGATAAGCGAAGATGTTCACATTTTCTTAATAACCTAGTGTTGAGTTATCTCCATGTGATATTTTGACAAATAATTTCAAGTATAAAGAGTTGGAAGTAGAAAACAAATAGAAGCTTACATTTTTGCGTTGTCGTCGTTATGAAGGTGGATGTGATAGCTAATGTAGAGATAATTGTAGAGGGACCAAGCCAAAAGAGCAACAAACAATAGAGAAAAAGTTAACTCTGTTGCTGTCACTATCCCCAATGGATTCATCACCATAATCACCCTCCCCATTCTCCTTTTTAGCTTCCATTCTCTGCATTCATATTATAGGATTGTGATAAATAATTTATTACAAATATTTACATGAAAATACAGTCAACAACAATAAAATTATAACAAGTCGTACCTTTGAGGTTGGGTTGGTTTCTTCTGGACATGCAAATAAACACAACTTAGAACCGCAATGAACATCATTGGAACCGTGAGAAGCACAAGATTCGTGCCTAGACATACAAGATAATTCTTGAATACTCAAAAATAAAGGAATCAAAATGATTGAATAAATGCGAGATTAAATAGAGAAATTCTTACCTTGAGGACCAAAATAAGTAGTATTGAGATTTTTGGCAAGTTTCGGGGTCCAAGTGCTTTTGAAAAGATTAGTTGAAATCATGATCCAAACAAAAATCCATCCAAGAAACAGAACCACCATTAACATCTTCACTAAGCTTCTCATATTTCCCATTTTTCTCTTTTATATTTTGTCCACAGTATTTTACCTACAATATTTTGATGTGTAAGTGTGTTGTTTGTGTGGAAAACTATATCGATTTGCTATTTATAGCGGAAGGTAGGGGTAATATCGTAATTATATATAAATGTTGTATGCTAAGATTTGTTTGTGAATTTCCCCTGCTTATGTTTCGACCGTTGGATATGTGTTTTTTTTTCTTACAAAAAAAGTGACGTGAGCAGCACATAAACCTAAACACATAAACCTGGTTTGCTATTATATTATAGATTATCTCCCATTCTCCCAATTATTTGGCAGCAGAATATATATTCAATATAAAACACTTAACGCATATATCATAAATTTGTGGCCAGCAAATTATATCAAAATTTATTTAGAAAAATATTTAGCCAAGCATTGATCGGGTCATCGATTTATGAAATTGAAAACGTTCTGCGTTCCTTTGATCGGATTTGTATATTTGGTTTCTAAATGTTGATTTCTAACGGTTGTCCTAACCATAACAAGTTTAAGGAAATTGTGTTAATTCGTTCTTTTTCTTTTTCTTTTTTGATTTTAACTGGAAAACTTATCATTTTGAGTTGGTCAGTTAAAACTGGTGTCATATTTTAGATCTGTTAAAATTTGATGAATGAACTATTCGACGACTACATTAATTCGGGACATTAGTTGGAATGGTAAGCCTAATGTACCTCCAGTTGAAAAAAACAAAACTTGATGTGACACTTTAAGTTTTAGAAAGCATTATTCAATTTTGCGGAAGTAAATATTTTTTAAAGGTTTTTTTTTTGAATAAAATGTAAATTTATATTAAAAAAAATATATATTTTTACACCAGCTATTTCTTAAATGTTGAAAGAAAATAGAGCAGGGATTTAAATTGGAAAAACAGAGCATTTGTTGAATTTTTTAGACTTGGAAAGCAAACCAGGCTTATAGGCCGTG